AGGACACAAGCTTCCTCAGAGCTCAGTTAGGACCACTCTAGCTCCCACCTGGCTGCCTGTGGCCAGATGCTACTCGGTAGCTGCAGAACAATCACTGAACAAGCCACCTAACGAATCTTTCTGTCTCAAGGGTTCTGCACACAGAATTCATTTTAGAGAAATTGTTCACTGAAGCTGGCATGCTGGTCACTGTACACCATGCTGCAGCATAGCACAATCACTGCATGTGCAAGATTCAGCCCAAAGATTTTTACATACTTTTTAGAGGACTGCAAGCTGCACTTGCATATGTAGCAGCTGTCTTGGGTAGATACATTTAATAAACAACCTAATAGTCACAAGTTTGATATGATTTAAACATCTGTGTTTGGAAAACAAATCCTGAAGTAATGCATTCTTAGCTATATATTTATGTGTGAGTAGGATTTTGTCTTTAAAATACAGTATCTAACTTGAGAAAATACATAGGAGGTAGCCACTGCCAGCATATTCCAGTACCATGGAAGGCACAAAGCAGGTCATGATAAGTCAGCATGAAAAGACAAAGGGCTGTTCCTAAAGCAGGGTAAAATACCAAGGAATCCATGCTTCTAGTTAAGCCTTTCTTGATGAAAATAGAACTGATATGTGCTTCTAAGACAAAAGAACATTCTTTTCAGAGAACCTTAGATTTAAGTGATTTACAATAAAATATATTTAGAAAACTCAAAACCTAGATGCCAAGGCATTAGCACAGAATTGTGAGTGATTTATATAGAAGGCGACTGACTGAGAGATGATAAAGAGCATTCTCTGCAGTTAAAAGTGTAAATTTTAAAACCTGTTTGGGAGCTTTTAAAGATTCCATTTTCCATTACATTTTGTCTTTTATTACGTCATTTTGGCAGGTCATCTGACAACATAATTGATGTTTCCATTTCTGGGCCTGTGTTTTAGTAATTAGCTGAAGGGGATGGACATGTTGTACAATAACAGTATTTGTGAGTCTTAATTCATAATCTGAGGTTAAAAGAAGGATTCCTGGTGAATGCAGTCTATATTTGGATCTGGACTCTAAAAAGACTGGAAATACAAATTGCAAGTCACATGCATCAATAGAACTGTTTTATCTGAAAAACTTTTATTTAGAAGAGAATCTCACCTAATTCTTATCTCTCCCTTTCCCCATCTTTTACAGAACTCACCTATGAAGAAGTGATTAGCTTTAAACCCCCTGACTTAAAAATGGATAGCCTGGAGATAGAACAGTGAATACAGGCAGCTCTGGCTTGTCTTGCTGCACTATGAAGACTCTTAAAATATAACCATGCCATTTAACCTCTGGTCAGATGTAGATTTTGCTATCCAAAGATGTTGAAGAAGATGTGGAAAAGCAGATACTTTATACAGAAGCCAGATAATGTCCATTTCGGGTGGGGTTTCTTTTGCCTTGTAATATGAATGTATTTCCAACTCACAAAAGGTGATAAAAAACTGCTTCATTCTGACAAAATTATGCACTGAGTTCTGTCAAGCTGCGTGTTCTGCATGTTTCATTTTATCAGTTGAACTGCCAAAATAAAGGTGACTTTTAAAATTAAGTTTTAAATTGTACATTTAAAGCATGAATGTATACAAACATAAACATAGAAGTCCATAGAAACAATCAAATTTATTTCTGGCATTTTTATCTGTCTGTTTCCTTATTATTTGTAGTTAGTGCCTTTATGAAGAGAGGACGTGGTAGTAAGATAGACAGAATATGCATATGTAGTCATATATGTGGTGGTCTTACAAATTTACTGGATATCTCTCAAGTGATCATAGCATCAGTTGAAAGTCAGTTAAAATAAATCTTTGTCTTCTGTTGCCATTCAAGTCTCTGTTCTCATTATTTTGCCCATGTGTATCTTTTTAATCTGCACAGTGCCCATTTGTGAGACCATTTTAATTCCCAACGGTACTCCTAACTATGCCATCAGAGGAGCACTGGCAAATTTGCCTGAGGTGCCCTGAAGGCACTACTGCCCGTCTCTCTAGTCTCCCACAAGCTTCAGCAAAGGCTGTCACAAAGGGCAGTACAAGAGTACTCAGCTGAGTGCACAGCTTTCAATTCAGTTTTCCTCATTGTCTTATTTTCCGTCACGTAATCCTTGGGAAAATAATCTAATAATTGCCATTGGAAAACATGACAAAGCAAGAAGATGTAAGAACTTATCTGTGAAAAATGAAATGTTTATCTCATCAGAGTTTCTTTTTAAGCAAAATTGTAAAGGTTTTCCAGTTCTGAAAGTTGAAAAAATAAATAATCAATTGCAGGATACACCAGATACTAAGATTTCTTAAGGAATTAAATTTATCTTGTTCCCCCATTGAAACAGGAGTATTCTTTGGCATGAGGCCTCTTGTGGTGTACTGGCTGTGTCTTTCTATGTACTTGTGATTCCCAGTTGTTCAATATTGTTCATTTTTGTGTCTTGTTCTCACTCCATCAGAGTCTCATTTTGGAGATGGCTTTTTATAATATTTAGGCTTTCTACAACTTTTGTCATTAAGATTCAGTTGTACAGCTACTACATGAGGTAATGAATTCTACTGCATTTATTTACCTTCCTCTGTATCTTTTCTATGTAAAAAGCAAACCTTTTTCTTAATAAACAGATTTTTTTTTAAAAAATCAAGTCCAAGAACTTTGATTTTTTTTCAGAAATACTTGATACAGTATTGTTTGTCTTTGAGAAACAGATATAAGCATTCCGTGTAGAAAACATGCTCCTGATTTGTAAAATAAGTGGTGGACTGTTGTTGATAATGTTGGCCAGCTACCTGGTACTTGTATCCAGTGGAATACAGCCCCTTGCATTCAACTTTCTGCAAGGCATATCAATCCAAAGGTAAACGCCTGTGTGGATTTCTTGCAAATTCTCTGAAAAGTGCCCATCACGATTTTGGCTTCCTGCAAAGCTGGGTGAGGCCTGTAATAGTCTTGTAACAACTGAATTTCATGCCAATTGAAATAGGTAAAAAGGTCTGGCTACATACTGAAAATAAAAATGGTCATGTCTTACATACATTGTTTCCATTTGTTTCTTTACCTGTTAACAGAAAGGTAGCTCAGTGCTTTTTTTTTCTCTCTCTCTGTAATCCAATCATGAGCTGGCCTGTTCTACAGCTCTATTCCAGCTGGAAGGGTGAGAATGAAGTAAAGAAATTTCACAAGAACCTCCTGCATCCAAGGATAATTAATTTAGTGTGGGATTTGTCCCATCATTTGTTTAATCTGGTTTCCTGGCTATGAGGGTGGCCATCACCAAATGTTTCAAAGGGTGTGTAAAATTCTGTGGTGGGCAAAGAACAGTTCATCTGCTCTTGCTGCAGCTCTGCTACTTCAGGTAGAAAGAAAGTTTTATATCACTTCCAAAATTTGTTCTTCTGGCAACTTAATCTTCCTCTGAATGTTTCCTTTTACATTCAAAATTGTATTTTTTTCTAGGAGATGTAGGAAGAATATGGTCATAGCCACATTTAAACTAATCAAAGGCGACAGTAATGGGTGACAAAAGCTCAGCTGTTTTTAATGAAGTACCATCAAAATTCATCAATCATCTCATTTTAATTTCAAGATAAACAGTAAGGATAGAGACATCTTTTTCCTAGATTTGCAAAATGAAGGTGATTTCTTCAACCTCAAAACACACTAATTCAAGTCTTTTTCCTAGAGCAAGTAAGTGACTCCCTTGTGGTGATCCACCATGGGACTGCAACGTGGTAAGTTTATCAGTTTACAACAGCAGGACAGGGTAATTGGAAAGTCGGTAGCCCAGTGGGACAGAGAGGTGGAAGGCTTAGCACTAACAATCCTTATCATTTGAATACAGATGGAAAAAAATGTGTCAACCAATGCAAACAGGCAAATGGAGGTAAACGTTGAGGAATGAAGGCTTTGTCAGGCTTAAATGTAAATTTTAAAGAGTAAATAAATACAAAAGGATTTTATTTTATAAAAAATTATATGCTAAAAATGTCTTTGCAAAATTTGTAGTGAATCCTGCTTGAGCACCACTCTTACACTCATTATTACCATTGTGCTTTTGTAGGTCCTCCACACGTTGTAAGTAGGTTTGAGGAAAGCATTGTAGGATTTAGCCTGCACTGAATTAAGGTGCTCATCATCTCTGACCACCTGTGAAGCACAGAAAGGACACTCAAAGGAGCACTGCTGGGAAATTGTAGTGGCAGCTCAGGCTTCTACTGGGCCAGAACACAATTCTCCAAGTACTTTCCCTGGTTAATTATTGTCATTGTTAACAATTTACTTCTAATCTGAGTTTACCTAATTTCAGCTTTCAGTTACAAGAGCTTATTATCCCTCCACCTACTGAGTTTAAATCACTTATAGTATTTATTATCTCACTATATAATCAGTGCTAAGCACAACCCCAAGTCTAGGAACTTTATCATCAGTGGAAGCCAAAGGAATTGCAAAAGGAAAAAGAAGTCTTTTGCATACATCTCAATCTTTTTACATGCATACGTACAAACTACAACTTATTTTAAAGTCTGCATCTTTCTTTTCTAAGCTCTCAGCCTCATGAGCACTGAAGTCCAGCAGCAGAAAGTTAATTTGCCACAGCCAGAGCAGAAGTAAAGACAAGACTAAAGAAATCTCTAATTTACAATGTACTAATAGAAAGAAAAAACAAGGATGGTTTAGAGGAAAAGTACAGCATTAGAAGATAATGTGCCGTAATACATAGAATTCCCTCCTTCCAGAACATACAAAGTGTCTACAAGTAGGAAACAACAGGTTTACTAATAAATTTAGGGGGAAATTTTGAAATTATTGAGGAAAAAATAATAGGAAATTATGTAATCAACATTGATATATGAAAAAATATATCAGGTACCAGTAGGTCACGAGCCATTAATTAGACCTCATTGTTGCAGAATTCCCAATAGTGCTCTTGGTGTAGTTTTGATGTGGTGCAAAAGGTGAAAGCAAAAGGGAAAGAGGGTCAGTTCGACACAGCTAGCACACCCTAGGGACAGGAGGGTGACAACACTGTCAAGGACAAAATGCTGGCAGGAAAATCACCTTTGACAGAGGTGGGAAACAGTCAATACAAAAGCCACTTCCTTCCTTTCTTCCTGTCACATGGGCTCCTGGATCGTAGCAAGAAAACAGGCCCCCACCTTCCCCACTCTCGGGACCCGGTCAAAGATGAAACTGTTCAAAAAGTACCATATTCAGCTGCAGGCACAAATTACTTAAGTATCTTTCTAAATGGTTGACTTGGCCCAAGAATCCCTGAGAGATGAGCAGTGGTAAAGATTTAGCTCTTGCTAAAAGAGAATTGCACTGTAAATAGAGTAAGTTATGTCCTTTGGTAGCTGCAGAAAGGAGTTCAGCTTCAGCAAGATCAGTCTCCTTAGGAAGGAATTAATATCAACACCTCTGTTTGCTTTAAAAGCAGCTGCTTGTTTCTCCCACATGTAAATCACGCTGCTTATGGATGTAGAGCAACTCTCTGAAGCTGGTCCTAGAAAATTAGCATGCTTATACCAGTGGGAATAGCAAGTGTCATTAATTTATGAGTCTCAGCAAAAAGCATAAGGGTTTTTAAGGGCCTAGTACCAAGAGACTCAGAAAGCTGCATTAGTGTAGCTGCCACTGACCTTCTTTCTGCTCTAAGATAAAATATTGAACTGATATGCCTAAAAGGGTCTAAGTTTTCACTCTAAGGAAAGGATAGATTGTGAGTTGCCTATGCACACACTGGTCTTCCAACCAATCTGACACTTAATCCATTAGATAGGAAATTTCTACATTATGAGTGAAACCATTCAATTAGGCTTCAATTTTGCACATGTACAAATGCTTCATTTTGCACTCACATATTCCCCCAGCATCAATTATTGTCACAAATTAAGATGTGTGCTGGGGCACCTTTTAGGTTCCAATTTGATCACAAGCAACACTGAACACAGTAGAAATACTGAAACACAGTGTCAGACCCAAGACAAGTATAGATTAAATTTGCTGTAACTGGCAGCTTCCACTGAGCCATACTTTGCTCCTAATACAATAACGTGCTACAGATTAGCACTAAGATAATATATTCATATTTCATGCTAATTTTAAATTAGAGCCTGAAGGCTCAAATCAAGAATAAACCCTAATTATGTTACATTCTGTGCAAAAATAATACACCATATTCCTGTCCTATTCAGTTCTCATTAGATTGAGACGGAAACTCTACAATGGTATGCAACATTAAGGAGGATGGGAAAAATGGAGTAAGACTACCACCAAATTGTTGGTGATTTAAACACACTATGTGCATAACTATGTAGTGACAAATAAGTAAAGCTATCAATTAATGATACCCATTAAAACTCTTTTTGTATTATTTTTGCATTCAAGTTGCAAAACTCTTCAACACAAGTATTTTTTCCTCTGTGCACAATAGCATCTCAGACTGTGATCATCTGTGATACTTTAAAAACTGAACTCCTACAGTTTATTGTAGGAATTACTATGAAGAGGACCTTTAGAAGATAGAATTAGGAGCATGTTAAAGGCATTTGGCTTATACCCACCTTTCTGCTAGCCTCTACACCCAGCCTCGCTTCTTCCACCCCCCTCCAGCAAGCAGGCATACCAGGGTAGTAAAGTTACTTAGTAAGTTCTCACTTGACCTCTTGAACAAAGGAAACAGCCAGTTAAATTTTTTTAAACACTTAGGTGTTGTGTATGTCTTGCTTTCTGCTGGTGGCTGAGTGCTCTCGCAGGGTGGCACAGCCCGCAGCGCTCTGTGTCACAGAGACTGGAACTGAAGTGCCTGCTCAGGGGTCAGAGAGACAAAAAGAGAAAAGTTGCAAAACAGTTGGCAGCAGCTCCACTGGGGAAGGGTGGGGACACAATAGTGTGGGAATATTTTCAGATGAAAGATGAGATTTTTTTATATATTTCAGGTTTACTTCTTGTAATAAATAAAACAAACTTGCTTCCTCTGCTGCGACGTATCTAAGTAGACAAGAACAGTGTACTTTGCAAAGGTGGGGATATAGAAAGCTGGTTAAAAAACTAATATTCTAGAAATCAGCCTTTTACAACTCTGCAAGATTTTGTTTATTGACATTTAAGGTATGTTTCACAGAACTAAAGTATATGTATGCGAATTAGTGTATCAAGAATAAAATGACCATGTGAAAGACATCTTATAGACATAAACACCCAGAAAGGTGGGAAGACTTTTCCAAGGACTTTGTATCATCTCCTGCTTTCTCCTGGTTGAATCCGCACTGCCAGTGCCTGGACTTGGGATCAAGGTCCTGGTGCTTCTCCTTGCTCCCACACAGGCACCTCCTTCACCCAGGGCCTGGCAGCCTGTTCAGCTCCTAACAAATTAAGCTGTGCCATTTTATCACTTCCAATTAACAGTCTGTTGTGAGCAACATAGCCATCAAACTCTCTCACCAGACCCCATACATGTGGAATTTCTCAGGAAATTCTGGTTAGCTTTCTCACTGCTCTCTTCCAGAGCTCCTGCTCCAGCACCAAAGCCTCTCGTCCAGGCTGGAGTATAAATTGTATGTGATCTGATGGGGAAAGGTGATCTCGTATTTGACCTATGCTGCTACCTCACCCATCTATAGCAAAGTATACCTAAATAAGATATATGACAGAAAAAAAAACATGAGAAAACCATCATTGGCCAACTTTATCAAGTAATTCGAAGTATGTTACAAAAGTTGCTCTTTAATATTCTCAGCTTCTGCACAAAATTGACATCGTCTTGGTGCTGGGTTAGTACCTTCCTCTACTGTATCTGCTTTCTGCTGTGATAAAAAGCAAGCAGTAAGAAAGCATAATTGCCACAACTGGATAAAGGGAAAATAGGTGTGGGATCAAAAGCAGAACAAATCCTTACTGTATTAGAAACATATATATGTCATTAATAGTAATTTAACTAATGGACTGGCTCGAAACTGAGTGGAAGATGCACTATCCTTCATCTTACCTGTACCACGTTTCTCTCCAGCCATCATCTGAACAGATGGCAAAAGTGATGTCAGAAATGTAAGAAAAAATAATCTGCTGGGATAGTGGATTTTAAAAGCTAACTTCTGATTGATCTAACACTTAACACAAGCCTC